AAGAATTACAATAATGTTTATCGAACAGGGCAAATGACAGGGTGGGGTGGGTGCTGTGTTTTTTTTTTTTTTTTTACCTCAGTTTTTTTTTTTTTTTTTTTCAAACTGTTTAATCACATATTAACACATGATCCTCTGGCTTGTCTCTGTCGTTGAGCCTGTCACTGTAGCAAGATTGCAAAAATTATGTCCTTAGTGCACGTCATAAAAAAAAGTTTCACGTAATTATAGTTACTAATTAAAATGACGTTTTTAATACTAAAATCTTGACGTATAATTACGTCTTGATATTATATTCCGTACATGGATCAAACGACAACATTAAATACAACACTATAAATTTACCTTTCTGATTGATACAACGTGATCCTCAATAGAAAATCAAACATGTAAAAATCAATGAACTTGTCAATTTCAAGTCCCCCAAGACTTGGGTGCCAGCTCTTTGGAAAATGATTGATTGAAACTCGTAAAAAAGGCTCACATTTTTCTCTCCACAAATTGGAAGTTTATATTACTTTTTCATTTGTTTCTTTTGTCATTTACTTTTAAATTATTTCCTGTAATATCTCTAACGACTACATGAGAAAAGTTCTTTATTTCTTAAATGATATCTTACTCCTTTTCTTTTTCTTTTTCTTTTTCTTTTCTTTTCTTTTCTTTTCTTTTTATATATTTTTTGTCAAATTAATATTGATGTGTATGTACTAATCCGAAATTTAAAAATGGGAACACGGAACGATGTGACATCTCAGATATAAATTGCAAAATTTTAAATAAATTGACAATGTATTTTTCAATAAATTGGATTTCAACGTATATAATGTTTCCACGACGTGTCAACTACCTACTAATAACTATTAAGTGCCACCATAATTATTTAATTAAAGGTTTAATCGTCATTTGCCAGACGGCTGGTGCTTCAATTATTTATTTATTAAAATTGTAAAAGAGTATGCCATCCAAAAGCGATTCTTTTAATAGTGCAGAAACGTGTCAAGGTTCTATTTCTGATTTTTTAGTAAAATAAAGCCAATGTTTGTGCGCAATGATACCAGACATACTGTACTTTTTTTGTTTTTAGTTTGTCAAATTTCTATTCAGTACAACGCGTTAAGGTCTTTTTTTATTAGGAATAAATGTGTGGAGATAATTTAGTTATGAACTTATGCAACATTGACAATTTTTTGTTTAATACATACTATTTTAATTTTTTGTAATTGATATTGTCGAAGCCTGGACATTTAGGACATGTCTGGTCCGGATTTTGCCTGGATTATAAGCAAAATAATGACCGTTGCTAACCCATTAACTAAGAAAATTAAATGATGCCAGACTTCCTTTTCAATAGTAGCAGGAGTCTGGAAATTTCATTGTTGCCCTTTTACTTATTTTCAGTACAATATCAGCCCACTTTCACTTGAGGGCAATTTCGGTACTCAGCCGTAATTGCTGCCAACAATTTATCACATGGGCCCGATTGATCTGAGATGAAAATCGATTTTCCTTTGCTAAAATTGGCATCAGACACACGCTTAATTGAGATTTAAGTTCAAATGTAATAATTAATAACTTTAAAATATGTGTTTTTGTGAGGGGCCACAATGGTAATTCTATGATATTAATTTTATTTTTGCCTTAAAAAATTACAATGTGAAGTAATTTGGTAGTAAAAGATTATCTCTAATGGGTTCACTTCAAATGTGTCTCTCGAGGTATAAAACAAGAAATAATGTTGGAGGTTTTGGCTATACCTTGTCCTTTCCATTGTCACATTTTTTTTTTAATTTTTTTTGTGGGAGGAAGACATTGTTGTCAATATTGAATAATAAGATTTTTTCTATAGTTCATAATTAATTTAGTTTTCCCTTAATTTCATTTTTGTAGCTTTCGGATCCTTTACTCATATATCTAACTATTTGTCCAATTACCACACTCAAATAAGTCAGTGGATCATTGGTTTGATTTTGTAGTTGCATTTTTCTATGCAATGAACGAAAGTAAATCGATTCTTGTAATCACTGTTTTATATTTTCCATCCATTTTTGAGGAACGAATTCCATCAAATTATAAAATTATTCGTTAAATTTTTTTTTTTTTTCCCTAAATTACTTTAGCATGTTATAGTCTCAATTTCAACTTTTCAATCCAAGACACAAAACTTGTTCACTTGGCCCTTGTTTGGTTTAGCTAAAAAAAGTTGATAAAAATCTAAAGTCATGTTTGATTGCAACGAATTCCATGAAAAATGTCACATTCGAGAAAAATGAATTCAACTTTGGCCGTTTGATTGTAACGTGGGAATGAAAATCGAATTCCAAGATACAACCACTTTAAACTGCATATTTTCTTTTTTTGTTTTAATCGAAAAGGAAATCCTATGGGTTTGGTGGATTTTTATTTTCCAACTAATATGGAAATGGAATTCCTTTCCACCGTTGCCTATCAAACGGACCTTTACGTCAAATTTCAAAATTATTTTTAACGACATATTTTATGGGACCCACAATTTTTACCAACTTTTCAACTACACGTTTTATCAACTTTTATAAAAATTTATTAAAAATTTGATTTTTAACTAAACCAAACATTGACTTAAATCTTTGGCAAATCCATGTGATGTTTCAAGTCCTTCTTTGATATATTATGTAGATATATAAGCAACTTAGTACTTTGTAAATAATCTAGAAATACAATCATCTATATAGTTTGTAACATTACTATATACCCATTTGATGATAGACAAAAATAAGAGATTTGAGAATCTACTTTCAATGGTCCACACCCGATCATCTGTATGAAACTAAAAAATTACGTCTATTCATGTGACATTTTATTCTTGTTATATATAAAATCTAGACAAATAAGCGCTTCAGATCGTTAGAAATTAGGTGATGACGAAAAAAAAAAGACATTTGAGAGCCCATTTTGATCAATGCCACAAGTAACCATATATATAAACTCTTAAGATGCAACAATTTAAAGTAAAATTGTCACTTTCAAAATGCCTCATAATTCTTCACTGTCCCTCCAAACTTTATTTTAAAAAGAAGATTCCTCTACAAGTTTAATAGTAATTTCCATTAGTTATCTGTTTCTTTTGTCATCTAGTTTGAATTATTTTTCATGCAACATCTCCAAGGGAAAAGGACTTCATTTTTTAAAAAATTGTGTCATGTTTTCTTCACATTGGACAATGGGCATAGAATTCAACTTCAAGAACAATGATAGCTTATGTACCTTTATTTTATGTTGGTGAAAGGATATATATTGGACTTAACCTTCAATGAAGAAAGTGCACAAAAAAAGCAACTTTCTCTTCTTTTGGCATCTAATTATTATATTCTGTCGACACTCTCTCACTGAATAAAAAAATTTTAAATTGAATATGAAAATTTTGATTTCATCATTTAGATATAAGATCGAAATTGTAAAACCAACCCTCTACTATATGTTTTTTGAAAAAAAAAACTAGCATATTAAATATTCGTTACTCGGAAAATATTCTTTTGTCCACAAGAAAACAATTTTTTGAAAATTTAAGCAATAAGAGGAAGTATGACTTTGCCCAAAAGTTTTCTTTCTTTCAATTTAATCTATTGGCCCTTTTATGAACAAGAAATGTAAAAAATGTAATTAGGGTTATAAACTTATTAGTATTGAAACGTTTTCAAGTTAAGAAAAAGTAAAATTTATAGTAAATTTTGAAAAAAGCAGATTTTTTTATAGTAAATTTCGATAAAAATTAATAAAATATATAGCTAAAAGATTAATAAAAATTGTGAATCTCATGAAATGTGTGATTTGATATAAATTTTTTTAAAAAAATGAATTTTAAGAAATAAGGGTAAAATATGAGCTAAATATCGTGACCTTTTGATAATTGGAGTGAATAGACGCGATAAAATTATCAATTGTCATTTATCATTTACGATTCAATCAAATGTTACATGCCAAATTTGTTAGGGTATCCAATGTGGAAATATATCAAATAAAAATATTATCCAAATGGGTCTGTTTCGACAAAATATCACTGTCATGGTGAAAGGAAATCCCAATTCAATTCTACTTATTCTTATTTTCTCTCTCTTTTTAATTTTAAAAAAACAATTAGATTGGTTCATGCAATATTATATATTCTATTTATGATTGGGCGCTGTTTGGGATAAAAAGAAAGTGCTTCCTTTGACTCTTTTTAATCAACTTTTAATTGGAGAGTATTTTCTCTGATTTCTTTCATTTTGGAAGACGACACCCACAAAAGTGGTAATATATAAATTTATTATAGTAGAAATTGGAATTAAAAAAGTATTTATAGACAAAAATTAATTCAGAAATATTAAGATGATATTATTATTTTTTAATCTCTCTTTACATTTCAAAAAAAATTGCAAACCACCCGATTAGCATTCCGTCTGTTCCTACGCTCGAAGACACTACGTACCCTTTTTTTTTTTTTTGCTCGAGTTATAATAATAATAATAATAATAATAGTAGGAAGAAGAAATAAACTTCATAAACGTTTAGCGTGAGAGGTAGTAATTGAGCGCCGTTCTTATTTTTTGGAGTCTTTACACAAAAGTTAAAACGTGAAAAGTAAAAGAGGAACGGAAAAGGACGAAGTTGATAGAGAAGAAAAGCTACCATTAATAAATGATAAAAAAACAATACGTAAGATCCAAATGTTAATTTGACAAAATTTTCAATTATACCAACCGTCCTTTAAATTATTAATACACTTCTTTCGCATATTAAAATATTTAAGAATTTTATTATTAAAATAAAAAAAGAATTTGAAATAATAAATTAATTAGTAAATATGGAAATTACAATTTATTTCTACTCATAAGGAGTAACAGACTTATCAGTAAAAAACTATAAGTTAAAAAGTCCCAGGCAAACACTGAAATTTGTATATTATACAGTATGATGACATTATTGACATGAATTCGTAGGTGAAAATATACACAATGTGAAAGCACAAACAGAACTGCACACCTCTAAAAATTGCATGGAAGACTGCCTCCAACGGCCACTTGGTCAAATATATACTCGTAAATCTCTTTGTCCGACGCCCACCATGGCGGACACAACAACCCCTCAGCCGCCGAGTCAACCACCGCCAGTTCATTTCTCGTCTCGGACGATTCATAAGTTCCCTCCAGACTCGGCAACTCAATTATCTCATCCAGCTCATCATCTGCTGTACTAGTAGGAGGCGATGACACACTCTCAGAAGACGAAGAAGGAGAAGACGACAATGAGCTGAGCTCCTCCATTGCCGCCGCCTTAGCAGCCGCCGCTTGGATGTCCGTCGGTGAAAGCGAAGCTGGACGAGGCAACGATTCACTAAGTTGAGGGAAATTAAGAATCGCCGAGTTACCCTTTATACTTAGCGCTGCCACATCATGAGCTCTAGCAGCCATTTCAGCCGTCGGGTAAGTACCGAGCCATATACGCGATTTTTTACGCGGCTGTCGAATTTCAGACACCCATTTTCCCCAGCTCCGCTTTCTCACACCCCGATAAACCGGATGTTTACTCCCACTCGCTCTCCCTCTCTTCTTACACTTTTTTTGCATGGACTCGGGCGGTGACTCAGAACTCGGTGGTGAATCAGCCATTGGGAGCTTACTAGAGAAGTATTCTTTAGGAGAGTGCAATGAGAATTGAATGCATTTAAGTTGAGTTGCTTGCACAGATATGTGGTGTTGAAGCAAATTGCGAAAAAAAAACACAAGAAAGAAAGAGACAAATATCAAAGTATACGTTTGTGAGTGATAGTGACAGACAGGCAGATGGAGTTATTGTATTGGATTGGATAAATCACAAATTATTACTACTCTAATAATTCACCTTATTCTCACCATTATTCCAAGTTGGCATTCTCATCTTGATTTGCTGTCTCAAATACAAAAACACTAATTTAAGTGATGTTAACATCTCGATATTAGTAAAAATGTTAAAATATCAAGATATCAAAAAATATGTTGGCATCTTCTCATAGATGATGTATTGAGTTTAAATAAAAAAAAAAAAAAAAACAAGTTTAGGACAACAAATAGAGGCTCGGCTATTGTTGATTATCGAATAACAGAAATATCGAAAAGTATTTTAAAAATCAATACGATACTTTAACTCAAATATCTTAAAAAGGTCGAGAGTCAGACAGAGTTGAACCACTTGCACAAATAAGTAAAGCCATTTTTATTTATACATTCCGCAGAAATTATATCAAACATGCACTTAGATCAACAAGCATGACAAAAAAAAAAGGTTGTTGACCAACTTGTGATCATTGTAGTTTAAGAACAAAAGCTTGTTATTCAAATTTAGACTAGGTCTATACATAAATAAAATTAAAAGGCAAGCCCAATTACAATTTTTTGTAGTTTTTTACATTGTACTCATCTTTCAACATGAGAATTTTAATTATTAATAAAATGGGCCACCTTTAATGTTTATTTAAAAAATTAGAAATTATGTAGTTTTGTCTAAGATTGATTAAGATAAATGTTGGTGTCCAATCTTGATTAAAGAATTTGGGTCACCTAGTGTACGAAGAAAGGTCCCAATACTTTATTTATGTACCCACCGCACAAAATAATAAATATCGCTCTTCGCTACTCTTCAACATCCACGTACATAGATGCCCGTTGGGATGGGGTGCTTGTATTCAAATTTGTCCTCTCCACTTGCACATGTAGTTTGTCTAGGTCAAATTATGTAATGTTATGCCCTGTTTGGTAGTTAAAATCAATTTTTTTTTAGTGAATTCCGATAAAAAAAAAATTATATATAATTTAAAAGTTGAAAAAATTTGTGGGTTTCATGAGATTTGTGATTAAATTAATTGTTTTGGAACTTAAAACATTGATGATTACACGTTTTTATTTTGTAAATGCGCTTTTAACTTTTATTCTTGATTACATTTTCACAAGTACAAATGTGTAAAAGGAATGGTATTGAGAAATAAGGTAGAGATGTATATAAATATTTTTATGTTTGCAAAACATTTAAATTATACCGCTGTATAAAAATTATTTGGACTTATTAATATCTCAAAAAAAAAAAAAGTTTTTTTTTTTATGTTTACGTCCATATTAAAATTTCTACGTGAGAAAGTAAATTATTTAAATTAGATTGTGAAATAAAATGTCGTAAAAATGTTAGGCATTTTAAAAATTCGGTCGATTTATATTAGAAGGGTAACATTCGAATTTTTGAGGTAAGTTCCACTAGGGTCTTCAACTTTTCGTAAGTGTGACACTTACGTTCCCAATTTATCATTCATATCATCAATCTTTTAAAATTAGCACTCATATTCCTAGCTAACGGAAAACATTTAAATGAAAGTCAAGTGTCAATTTCATGACACTCTAGTGTAGTCACCATTTGGATTGTCTTGTAATAAGAGAACTTGTTTTGGACTGTTTTACTCTTTCAATCATACATCATGTGAGCGTGACGTGTTCAATTAAACATTTTTCATTTGCGGAAGAGTGCCACCAGATAAGGATTCCCGGTCCTGTCTCTGGCCCCTTTTTTTAGTGTATAAAAAAAATAAATTTATGTATTAAATTGGATTGTAATTTAATCCTGGATCTATCTCCGGGTGCCACTCCTTTAAAGTATTAAAGATCACAAGTGCCACACTGACAAAAGGTTGATGACGCATGGTGAAATTGACCCTTATCCTCACCCATATGTACTTAAAAAAAGATAGTGATAAACTGAAAGTCTGAAAAAGAAAAAAGAACTACAATTTGTTTACATCTGTACTTGGTGATTTGTGTCAATTCTGCAGAGAAAATCTTACACTAAAGGACCTCACTCACTCATATTACTACAGCTAAATGGCCCAAATTTAATATCTGATCCAATGGGCCTCTTCTGCATTAATATGGTAGTGGTCATTATTTTTATCATGTTTGACAACATATTGTAAATACAAATTGCACAAGATACTTTTAGTATCACGGTATGTAATGTAGATATCGTTCAAATAAATTCAACAACGTGCATGATCGTTGATAAGTAATACGTGATGAGTTGAGTTATCGTCTCACATAGAATAAATTCTAGCTCAAGTGTACTAGTTTTCTATCAAATTCGAATTATACAAACAAAATAGATTAATTGTAGTTATTCTAGGTTAATCTAAAATATATGTGAAAGCATTGGAAAAGTCAAAATTCATTCGAGTGGTTAGAGAGAGAAACTCTCAACTCTAGTGAGAGAAAGACTCACTTTGATGCCTCTTGATATCTTGAGTTTTTCATGGTTCTTTGCTTGATTTTATTTAATCTTTTAAGTGGAATCGAGTTCTGCAGTTAAGGTTACTTAAGATTAGGTGGTCATATACGATTGACCTTATACGTTTCAGGCATTTTCTCATCACAATTAACGATATCTTGAACAAATTTGTTGAAAATATCCAGATTATCATCAAGATCCTTTAAATGATCCATTTTAAAACTAAAAATCTTTCAAGTAAGTACAACTTATTAGGAATAGATTTAAACAAATATAAAACCACCAACTTTTACTAAAGTAAACTAATTGAAGTGTAAACAAATTCATCATATTCTTCTTTTTGTGTTTCTGTTAAATTTGTAGGAAATTTGCCATATATGACTTTTGAAATTTTTTTTGAACCAAAATTCCTTTTATATTTTGTTACCAAATTGAAAAATTCCCTTTCCCATTGAAAATTTAAATTTCGAAATGTGAAGACATTTTGAAAAACAAAACAACCAAAGTGCAAAAATAGATCACACAAAGCAATTCTAAAGCCGCAATATACACCGTTCAAGATTATTAAGGTTCGTGAAACTAAAGATCTCAGGATCAAGAGAGTGTTCAAACGGGTCAAGTCTAGATATTCTTAAAGAATAATAAATGCAATACGAAGGTATGTAAAAAAATTCAAATTCTCAGCAAAGCAGTCTCGCACAATGACTAAACAATAGTTAAAGCACAAAAGCAATTACCAACTTGTGATCAAAATCAACACTTCAAATAAAGCAAATAATTCTTAAATTTCTAGCACAAGCAATATTACCTTATACAATAACCTCAATCCTAATGTCATCCCGCACGATGACGCGCTGATGGTGAAATTTAAATTGGGATAGCAAATTTACCAAAGCGGAATTGAATTAGTTGAAAAGGCCACTTGGACATAACTCGTTTAACTAATGGTAATTCGCATAGAGAATCTTAAGTTTGGAACTAAGGTGATCAATAAGTGTAGTTGTTTTACCATAATACATTCTATATACGTGAAACTTCAATCATTTGTTTTTGTCATTCATCATAATTTCCATTGCTTTCGTTTCCATAGTCTTAGGCATTAGTTGATTTAGGAAAATCTATTTTCACAACACTCATCGTTTGTCTTTATTTGCTATTTCTGTCAAGTAGTAGTAGGAAAAATATATTAAGTACTAAAAGTTTAGTCCTCGTGGGAGCAATATCCGGATTGAAAGGTCAACTTTACTACTTGTTATGATATCGTACACTTGTGATAGAAAAAACGCGACAAGTTTTTGGCGCTATTGTCGGAGACTAATTACTTTTAGTCTTAATTTGGCCAACTCTTGTGATGCTGTCGGACTTTGGCCAACTCTTGTGACGAAGGTGACCAGGAACATATAACATTCTTGCTATTTGGCGAAGCATGGTAAGACCCTTATTTTAAGCTACAAAAAAATTTATTGTCTGAAAATTTGCATGAAAATTATCATATAAGAATTTTTATAAAATTGTTTACTTTGAATAACTTTTATCATGGAAAGTTACGAGTTTTATTATAGAACTGTACCTTTTAGATATACTAATAGTATTGATTATAGTCACATGATAGAAATTCCAGAAACTTATGATAGTTATACTAGAGGAATAAATTTCATAAAAAGAGATGGTAGATATTATGAAAAATGTCATACAATTGTATCATTTGGATTAAAAGAAAGATTGCCTAAAGAAATGATAAAAAATGATTATATTTTTCTGGTTAGATAGTGAAAATAGTGAAAGAACTTTTGAAACTACAGAGCATGTAAGTTATAATGAAGTTTCTGAATTATATGATTTTGATCTTAGTTTTGACGATATAGAATAAGAATATGCCTGGAATAACTAGAAAATTTTGTGATAATAAAATAAAAATTTTAGAAGAACAGATAATAACTGACAATAATCGTAGAGAAATAGAAAGGGAAATTTCTAATTGGAATAAAATTAAAAGAGAATTATTAAGGAATGAAATTACAAGAGAATTAAGAAGAGAAGAACAATTTAGAAGAGAAATAAGACAAATAATAAATAATATAATAATTAATTCCTTAAATTTACCAGACTAATATGAGTTTACCAACAAAAATAAGATTTGATAAACAAGAAATAGAAAATATTAGATTACCAATAGGAAGCTATCAAACTAAAAAATGGAATACAACTCTGTTTCAACCTTTAAGCTCATGGGGAAATACAGATGAATGGTTAAATATGACTACAAATTGGACTAATGCATTTTTATGGCAACAATTAGGACAATTAAAATCTAAAGATGTAGAAGCTATAGACGAAATAAATAATATAGATCCAAAAGATGAAATAGCTAAAGAAAGGTTAGAAGTTTTAAGCAAAAATATGTCTAAACAATTTAATAAAATAAAAGAACAAATTAATAATTTAGAAATACTTGATGAAGCTAAACTTGAAGAAATTCAAAATCGAATATCAAAAATTGCACAGAAAAATAGTATTAATAAAATAGCAACTTTAGAAGAAAAAGTAGACATTATTAATTATAAACTTGATATTCTATTAAATAAATTAGGATTTGAAATTGAAAAACCATCTTATAAAAAACCTAAAATATGAGTATGAATGATAAAATTAATTTAATTGAGAAAAATATAAAAACAATTGATGAAAAAATAACTAGAATTGAAATAGGCTACGAAGAAGAGAAAGAAAGACTACAAAATAACTTTTTAAGAATAGAAAATCTTTTAAATAGAATAATAGAAAATCTAAATAAAGAAAAACCATTTAAACCAGATTATACCAAAGAACTTAAAGAAGTTAGAAAGAAAATTGAAAAATATGAAGAATTAATAAAACTTAATGGAGGATTAAAAGAAGATATAGAAAGATTATTGATTGATCTTAGAAAGCAAGAAGAAAATCTTATAGAAAAAGAAGAAGGAAAATTAATTATAGAAGAACAATGAACGAAGAAATGGAAAATTTAATATTTGACTTAGAAGACTTAAAAATTTGTGAAGAAATAACTAAAAATCATATGGTTGGAAAAACAGGAGGACCACGAGCAGTTAAACAAGAAGAATATGGAGAAACTAGCACAGCTAGATATGAAGCAGAAATAGACCCTAGAAGATATGTTAATACAAAAGTAGATTTTAAAACTACCAAAGAAAGAATGTATAGAGACCAATTTAAACCAGTTTTAAGAGAATCAAACCCAATGAAAATTGCAGGATCATATTTAAATTTAGATTGTGAATTAGATGTTAGAAGAGCTATAAGTGAATGGAGTACCAATATGATAGCACACTTTAATTATAATCGCAGTAATACAGATAATAAAAATAGAACTGAATATTTATTAGCAACATTTAAAGGAAATGTATTTAATTGGTATAGAGGATTAGAAGAAACAACAAAAGGTATTTGGAAAGATAGTATTGAAGCAGGATTTGGAATTAGTATAATAGAAGGAATAAATAGAGTTGCTACAAGAATTTATAGAGAATTTGCTGGAGAAGATTGGGTAAATGAAAGTACTAAAGCTAGATTAGAAGAAATAGAAGATGCTAAAAATAGAATGGAACATTTACAAATTTGTAATATGTGTTATCTCAATGAATATTGTTGTGAATATAGTAAATATTATTATATGATGTTTGGAAGTGGAGCTGATAATAATTATTATAAGGAAGTTTTTATTAGAAAATTACCACCACCATGGAATAGTTATTTTCAAAATAAGATTAAAGAAAAACAATTAGGAAGAAATGAAGAAGGATATACATTAGGATTTATTATAAGAACTATAAAAGACGAAATAAGTACTATGTGTAGTAATCAAATGATTTATAAACAATCAGGATTTATACAAGATAGGATTTGCTGTAGAGATACCGAAGTACCAGGAAATTGGGGATGTTATGATTATAAAAGAAAAAGAAAAATAAAACCCAAGAAATATAAAAAATATAATAAGTTTAAAAAGAAATATTTTAAACCAAAAAGAAAATATTTTAGAAGAAAATATAAACCTTATAATAAAAAACCATTAGATAAAAAACGATGTAAATGTTGGAATTGTAATGAAGAAGGTCATATTAGCACTGAATGCCCAAAAAAGAAAGTTAGAATATTAATTACGAACTTTGAACAAATTAGAGATGAATGTGAAGAAGTTGATATTGAAGAAATAGAAGTGAATGAAGAAATATATGAATAAAAATCAGATTTAGAAGAAACATTCAGTGATGACGAATAAAAATAAGAATAAAACTAATTTCTTATAAACCATGAAGTGTGAGGACATGATTTGGAATAAAAAATCATTTCATTAAGGGCAAAATTGACTTTTTTACAAAAAATCATATGGGCCATTTTACCCGACTATTTTGGAAAATCTCCCCCAAAATTGTTTCAAACCCGACCCGCGAAAATAAGTTAAAAACGTTCATCTAAGCAAAGCCCAAAACCGACCGAAAGTGGATATGTGTTTCTGTTAAACCCTTCAAAAAAAAGAAAAAATGCCCCAAATTAAAAACCTTCGCCTCCTCCTCTCCTCTGCCGATTACCACCACCACCCACTCCTCCGCCGCAGAAGCCTATCTTTTTCCTTTTCTTTTCCATTTTTGCCCCACCTCAGGAAACCCACCTTCACTACTGAATTTCCACTCCTCACCACGTTGTCTTCCTATTCGGGGAATCTATGTAATAGCAACAGTTATAACAAAAATTCGCGTTCTTTTCATAGGAAAAAAAGTGTATTGAGAGATACTCAAGGAAAGAGAGATAAAATTAGCAATAAAGGTGGTTCCTTGGCGATGGAAGAAACAACTCGTAGTGCTAATAATGCTAGTGAGTCTATTGATTTTAACAGGAAAAGGGCTGAGGGTAGAGATGGAAGTGACATGCCCAAGAAGCATTTGCAGCTTAAAGTCCGGAAGCTCAATCCTGCGAATACCATTTCCTATGTTCAGGTAGGAAAAAGGGTTTCAAAATTGCTTATATATTTTATTTTTTATCTCGGGTTGAATAGCGCGTTGATTATAATTTCCTTGCTTGTTTATTTAGTTAAATTGGGCTTTCTCGGCTTAATTGACAGTGGTTTGAATTATATGGCATATGCTGTTTCTTTGACTATTTTAGTCTGTTTTTTGATATGGGTGCATTTGTTCCTTTTCTCGCAAATTTTTGTTTCCGTGATTTCAATGAATAATGGTAGAGCTTTGTTATTGTTTCATAAACCATTCTTCTTCCATTTTTTGGAATTTTATCCTTAAGAAAAGCGTTTAAGATGATATGATATGATTCAACAAGAGTTGAGTATATGGGTGCTTACCACTTTCATTTTCTATAAGACTGTTCAACTTCAATATATAGGGTGGTTACTTAATTGCATTCTCCGACTTTTTCAATGTTAGTTAATGGGATTTATGATCTACAAAATAGGTAATCTGCCCTAGAAGTGTGTTGCTTTAGAAGGGAGTCAGCGGTTAGTCCTCGACATAAAATTTATCTGATTTTCTATATCCTCTGAGTTTTGGGTTGTGAAATATTATTGAACTGGTCTTGTCTCCTTTCACCTGGAGCAAATTATGCAGAGCTGCAAAGCCTCTATTTGACCTGGGGATTCTGGGGGTTCAATCTCATGCTGCTGAATATAGTGCAGAAAATAATTTTACTGAAAACAGTGACTTGGGAGAAAAGGCTGCATATTTTACAAAAGTAGATGCTGAATTATACTCTTTCCTTAATCTTTACATTTTTAAACTGATATTTTGTGTTTATCTTGCAGATTCTTGGAACTGGTATGGATACCCAGGACACATCTCCATCAGTGCTACTATTTTTTGACAAGCAGAGATTTATATTTAATGCTGGAGAAGTAAGCATTACTTGGTTTTCTCTCTTAACTTTGTAGGATACATGTGGAATTTTCATTCTGAAAACTTGTTGATATGGCACTGCAAGAATCTTCAGTGAAAGGATTTTTGTAAATGCAAAGATTTCCCCCAAAACCCTAAATGATAAACACAGGCAGAAAGGCCCAAAAGTCAGGAATATGAAAAAAGAGTGAAGGAAAAGCAATGCCTCCAAAATATCCCAAGTTTACATCAGACTTAATGTAAGAATACATTTTCCTTTTCACCCAAAAGAAATAAAAAAACATATAGGAAAATAGAGTTGGAAGGATCTCTTTCTATAGGTACATCATTAACAAATGACAATGTAGTGGGTGCAACTGAAGCTGAAGATTATAGTAAGGTTTCTGGGCCAAATAATCTATCACAATCAAAGTTCATACATGGGATAAATATGAAAATAATTCTTTATTCAGATCTAGGATTTCTCGTAAAATTTTGATTTTGCATATTTCTGAGGAAATATATTTGGAACTTTTGGATTTATATAAAACTTTATTACATTTATTCCAGGGATTGCAACGATTTTGCACTGAGCATAAAATCAAATTGTCGAAGGTATCATACCCATAAGCTCCCTTTTCTACTCTGTTTTTCTTGCTTACTGCTAAGGCATAACAATTTAATTATTTTTTTTAATAAAATGTACTCCAGATTGATCACATATTTCTCTCACGTGTTTGCTCAGAAACTGCTGGTGGACTTCCAGGTTTTCCATTAAACCACTTAATTAACTTAGCATTATATATCTCAACATATTACATAAACATGATTTTATAATTTTCGTATAATGGATAAATGCGAGGTATTTATTCTAAGCTGCTAAAAGTTAAAGACTTGACTTTTTTGCTTGCAGGTCTTTTGTTGACTCTGGCTGGCATAGGAGATGTAGGAGTTTCTGTAAGTGTTGGTTTGATTCAGTGCATCTCATAAAAATTCATGGTTTGGATTTGAATAGTAATTTATGAAATCATAATGTTCTTCTTAACTATTCTGAAGGTCAATATATGGGGTCCCTCAGATCTCAAGTATCTGGTTGATGCAATGAAATCTTTCATTCTTAATGCTGCTATGGTTCATACCCATAGCTTTGATCCAATGCATGATTCTAATGGCACTGCTATTTCCATGTCTCGGAAGTTTGATGATCCTGTCGATCTTATTAATGATGAAGTTGTCAAAATATCTGCAATAGTCCTTCGACCGAATGATCCAGAAACGGGTCTGGATGAGACCAAGCCTGCAAACCTTTCTGTGATTTACATTTGTGAATTGCCAGAAATAAAGGGAAAATTTGATCCCGACAAAGCTGCTTCTCTTGGATTGAGACCTGGGCCGAAGTATCGTGAACTGCAACTTGGAAATTCCGTGATGTCAGATCATCAAAATATTAGGGTAGATTATTAAACCTTTCAAAATTTTGCTTTATACCTTTGGTATGTTCAAATTATTCATACCTATGAATTGCTGCACTTGTGATGTCCAGGTTAAGCCAAGTCATGTACTCGGTCCTTCTGTTCCTGGCCCTATAGTGCTGCTAGTTGACTGCCCAACGCTACTGCATTTACAACAGTTGCTGTCTGTACAAAGTCTCGTTCCTTATTATGCAGCTACGACTGGGAATGTACTGGAAGGTTCCAAAACAGTGCATTGTGTAATTCATCTAAGTCCTGCAACTATCACAAACACAGCTGATTATCAATTATGGATGTCAAAATTTGGTGCTGCTCAGCATATTATGGCAGGGCATCAAATGTCTGTTTCTTCGACAGATTATTATTTTCATTTTCACAATATGATTTATTACTTTATCGCTCGTTCCTTGAGAAATTAGAACTGAGGAGTCTCATATTTTGCAGGAAGAATGTTGAGGTGCCAATTTTAAAAGCAAGTGCTAGAATTGGAGCACGACTTAACCACCTGTGTCCTCATTTCTTTCCAGCTCCTGGATTTTGGTCTCTTCAGCACCTGAAGTCTTTGTCATCTGGCTTGAAGGCATCAAATAAGGTATATTGTGGATCTATATTTTGTATTTCAGTTGATATGATTTGCTTGAATCATGTATTTGTGTATAATTTATCAATCTTGGTTTCGTCCTCTCAGGATCTAGTGCCAGGCATTATTGAAACCGTTTCAGCAGAGAATCTTCTCAAGGTCTGAATAGTCATCTAAATCCATTAGTTTCCTAGAATGACTATCAAAATAACCCTCATTATTTCTGCAATTTGCAGAACATGATTACTATTTTTCTTACGTGCAACTATTTTATCATCCATTATCAGGCTGTCAAATGAATCTTTACTTGGGGCTGTTATTTTATCCTATGAATAATCATTGATTTGTGAGACAATATTATTGAGCATCAGTCTATGACCCTGAAAGGTTTCAGAGAATCATAATTTCCATATTCATTTTGGAAATGACAAAGACATCCAATTATAATTCCATAAAATATCAGAATGTTCTTTATGGCAAAATTTTGGTTTAGCCCTGTAGTTTTTTTTATCAAAGCAATGAGATAATGCAAAGACAAATGCTTTAACTCCTTTTTTGATTTTGAAAACAAATTGTGATGTAGGTATTATAAATTTGATTGCTCCTTTCACTTTTTTATCATAATGATCGTAGGTGGTATTAAAGAATTCTAACTTAGAAGTATTGAGAGTTTAATATGAAATCCTTTTGGAGAAGTACATGGAAAGTGGAATCTTAATAGTTACTAGCTCTAGCTGTTGTTCTATTGCTAATGTGTATGTTATTACGTTGATATGTTAATGTCTATCAGTGGCTTTAAAAATCCTCTTATCACACATCAGATTTTATGTAATATGCACGTGTTCTACGAACATCTGCTACTTGCTGCTTTTATCCATATTTTTTGGGTTTCTTTCATGCTGTTAGTAATACGCCATGTCGTGTGGAACAGTTCCATTTTCGACCTTACGCAAATCTTGGGCTCGACAGATCTGGTATTCCAAATCTGACATCTCGTTCAGTGATCATTGACGAACTACTATCAGAGATTCCTGAGATTGCAGATGCTTCGCAAGAATTAAACCAGTTGTGGTCAGGGAACACAGAAACTAATGGAGAGAAGACAGTTATGCAAGCTAACCGAGTTATGACTGAAGAGCCATGGTTGCCCGATGGTGCACTTCCAGACTGTCTGGAAGATGTAACTAGAGATGACATGGAGATTGTTTTTCTCGGGACTGGTTCGTCTCAACCTTCAAAGTATCGAAATGTTAGTTCCATCTTCATCAATCTTTTTTCGAAAGGATGTTTACTTTTAGATTGTGGGGAAGGAACGCTGGGACAACTAAAAAGAAGGTAAATTCATGTCAAAAATTCTTGCTTGGATTTTCTTCCAATTTTTTATTTATTTTCCCTTATTTTAGTAACAACTATTAAACTGTAACATCTTCTGCAATTTCTGGTGCCAACAGATTTGGCATTGAAGGTGCTGATGAAGCTGTAAGAAGTTTAAGATGTATTTGGATTTCCCATATTCATGCCGACCATCATACAGGTCTGGCAAGGATACTAGCGCTTCGGAGTTCTTTATTGAAGGGAGTACCTCATGAACCACTAATCGTTGTTGGCCCGAGGCAGCTTAAGAGATATCTGGATGCATACCAGAGACTTGAGGATCTAGATATGCAGTTTCTTGATTGTAGGCATACAACAGAAACTTCACTTGTGGCTTTTGATTCCAATGACGATGACACCAAATTTCAAAAAGCAAAAAATGGAAATACAATTCGTCAAGAGGAGGAACATGTTGATTCTAATTTGTTCACTAGAGGAAGTCGTATGCAAAGCTACTGGAAGAAGCCAGGAAGTCCTACTGCAAATGCTGCTGCCCTTCCAATCCTCAAGTCCTTGAAGAAGGTCCTCATGGAAGCTGGATTAGAGACATTAATAAGTTTTCCTGTTGTTCATTGTCCACAAGCATTTGGTGTCGCGTTGAAGGCTTCAAATAGAATCAACAGAATTGGAAAAACAATACCCGGGTGGAAAATAGTGTACTCTGGTGACACTAGGCCCTGTCCAGAACTTGTCAAGGCTTCTTGCGGAGCAACAGTTCTTATACATGAGGTAAGTTGTAGTAATGATATTTCCATTAAGAGTGCAAGGGATTTGGATTTTCATTTAGTTTTCTTAATTTAGGATCTGATATGTTGGGCAAATGTTTATAAAATACTTGTTAAAAGTCAAATCACTTTTTATCCACATATTTCATAGGATCCATGAGTACTATATACTTATTCACCACCCATTTCTATTTATTTATAAACACTTGCGAAATGCAGAATATCTTTGACTTGAGATAAATTTAGGTGTAGCTTCCTTTAGTGTCAGTTTCCTTTTAATTTTACCAGACTAATGGCTTGATTTTTACTGAAGAGTAGAATTAATGGTTTAGTAAGTTTCATTTCCTCTATTTTTAATATTATAACAAAATTATTAGGTCAACTCAAATCCAAAGTGCGTTCCAAAAACACTAGCCAAATCCTAAAGCCCGAGGCACCTTTACTTGTTCTTTTCATATGTTACACAATTTGCATTCTGAAAATGTTTCTATTGAACCATGAATTACGTTCTTAATTATATCTTGATACCAAAAAGAAAATGCCTATAGTACTTCATCTACGCAACGAGTTTCAACCATTGGTTTTGTTTGTCAAGAATTATGAAATCGGTATTATTAATTGTGTTAAAGTGTGAAACTTGTGACCAAGTTTTTGGCTCCTTTTGCAGGCAACATTCGAAGATAGCCTGATGGACGAGGCTATTGCAAAAAACCACAGCACAACAAAAGAAGCTGTGGAAGTAGGCGACTCAAGTGGAGTGTATCGGGTAATCCTCACTCACTTCAGCCAAAGATACCCAAAAATTCCAGTATTTGACGAAACTCACATGAATAACACGTGTATTGCATTCGACTTGATGAGTGTTAACTTAGCAGATTTGCCTCTTCTTCCAAGAGTATTGCCATACCTCAAACTCATGTTTAAAGATGAGATGATCATTGATGAATCTGAAGATGTAGATTTTGTAACTGCAGCCCTTTAAATTAAATTAAAGGGGGACATGCATATTGGATTTTTACCATATTTTGTTTGTTTTTTCAGTTTATTCATTCATTATCTTTATCTCCACTATGTTGTTTCCTCTTTTCATATTTTTTGAAAGAATAATGCTACATTAGCTCAACCATAGTTCAGTCTTAGCTTTAAGTGTCGTAGGACACTTTAAATGTAGGAATATGAGTTCCATTTAAATTGTTTTATTTTGGGGTGTTCAAAAGTCCCGAATCGAATCGGACCGGACCGAACCCGAATCGAACCGAGCGGTTCTTCATAAGTTAAATACCTGAATCGAGAACCGACTCATTAGACCAAGAATCGAAGAACCGAATAAGACTCGAAACTAAATAATTTTTGTTTGAGCCACATTAAAATTCTCATTCTCAATCTTCTATTCATTTTTACTTAATTTCTGTCTCCAATGTACTTCTAAATTTATGCATGACACAAGTTACCAATTCAGACGTACCTAAATTAAGAAGAAATCCACAATATGTATCAACACACTATTTGTGATCATATTAAACTAATCAAATGTCACAATGATTACAGTAATGATCTATTTCAATAAAAGGTTTGTGCCAAAATCTTCAATTCAAGGTGGACAAAAACAATCTACAACATACGAAAAAAATGCAAGATTCAATTATGAACCGTCGAATCACAATCATTTTAATGATTTGAAAGTATGCGAGTGAAATATCATACACGAAGGTCGCATAAATTTGCAATTGAGGGTCACAACGAAATATTTGATTCTCACTGATAATGAAATTTCAAATTCTAGTTATAAATTACATTCTAATTAAGGATCACAACACCATAAAATAAGCCAAGTTTGATTCAAGGTCATATTAACCATAAACATTGTAAGTAGATTTTGTTCGTGATACGACGATGGATCTACGTCCACAAGGAGCCAAGCGGAGATTTTATTCAAAGGCCAAGTCCAAACCCATATAGAACTTTATGACCCGTACAAGAAAAATACACTTATACAGTACCGCCCGATGCCGCCGCTCCGCTCCTCTCACTCTGCTATGACATCAGCCATTTTGATCTAGTAATCCCGTGTTCCACACTATATGAACCACATGTACAACAAAAGATTTATATCACAAAATAGAATATGGTTTTTACAGAGTTTAACTTACCTGTCCATTACCAGATGAAATGTAAGAGATAAGTAATTCATCCTTGTTTTAAAATGGAAATCATTAAGATTTGGGACAGTATACCATATTGAAGGAATAAGTAAACTATGGAGCATCGAATAAGTTAAGCTTCTCCCCGCTTTTAAAATTCATCTTATGTGGGAATTAAATTTATCTAAGCTAACTTTAATTCATAAATAAAATTAAAATATTAAAATAAGAAGTTTTAAACTAAATTTTTGTTACATTAGCTTAGCTTAGAACTTTCTTATAAAAAAGTGGCATGCCTTGTCACATTTTTTCGAAGTGACATACTACAATTACTTTTCATTGCAAATGTAAAATCAATTTTTAAATAATCATACACCTAATTTGATATAATTTCAATTCTTTACTGTTTTGTTATGTTAAAATTTTGAGTTTGAAGTTCACCTCTTTGTTGAGGTTTTGTATATTTTCAAAATTAATATACTAGCTTAGAAAGTGATGACATGTTGCATCAATTTTTAAATAAAATGTCACAAACAATCAATCTCTAATATAACAACACAACATTATTGGCTAAGCTTTCAATTTGCTTATAAGAATTTCTTGAACTAATATGTAGATGTTAATTTTGATTTATCGTTATGTTAAATGTTGATATATAACTTTCTAATTAAAACGTTTAACATTACACACATATTAATTTTTACATACAAAACACTTTCATATGATTTTTCAAAATGTCCTTAATTTTAAAAATATTTGTGCAAGTTGCCCACTTCTTCTAACAATGAGACATAGACGCATGTTTTTATTACTATTGGACCACGGTAGCGAGTAGTTGTCGTGGTATACATAGGCTCTGTGTGGTTGGGATAAAATTTAGATTTTAGTTTAAGTCAAAATTGATAATTAATTTTACTTACATATTTTATGATACTCACAACTTTTCAACGACGCATTTCATCAACTTTTATCAAAATCTATTAAAAATCCGATGTTAATCTTCACCAAACAAATTGATAGTTTAGGTAGCTAAATAATGGAATAGCATAGTCCATGGCATGACATCCATTGTTACTTATATTAAAATAGCATCAAAAGTTAGGTACCAAAAGCATCAATTGACAAATCCTTTAACAGATTCAAACCTTTCAGAAAGCAACGCTACACCAGAAAATGGATTTACAACCAAATTGAAAAAGGAAAAAGGACGAAAAGTAAGAACTTTCTTTCATTCCTCCCTTTTATTACCCCACAAAATAAGTAGAAAAGGTTTCGAAATTTGATTCGGAAATTGCAAAACGAAAGACGATTTAGAACTCGTTAACAAGTGGAGTGTGTTCGTGGACCATGAACACATTGGCATAGACGAGTCCGGCCAGACCCCCACCGATGAGTGGACCAACCCAGTAAATCCAGTTGCCGGCGAAGTCACCGCTGGCCACAGCCGGACCGAAGGACCTAGCCGGGTTCATTGAGCCACCGGAGAATGGGCCGGCAGCCAAAATGTTGGCACCAACAATGAAGCCAATGGCAATGGGGGCAATTGTGCCTAATGAGCCCTTCTTTGGGTCAACTGCTGTGGCATAAACTGTGTACACCAGAGCAAAAGTGATAACAATTTCCATCACTACTCCTTCAATGGCTCCAACACCAGCTGCCACACCGTGGATTGGAATGGCCTACATAGAAATTAATCATCAAATTAACAAAAATAATTAGACACTTGTTTAGGAAATCATTCGAGATTAAGTATTCTTTAATATACTGAGTTGAAAGTCGAAAAAGAATACAATTCTGATTTGTTCTTTAAGTTTAGATCATCTGTAAACTTTTAGATCGAATCAAAATTGTATGAGAACACAAGGAATGGAGTTCAAATTTCGTTGTCGCTCATTTATGAAAGTTGTGCACGAATTAGAATTTTTATTGAAAAATGAATATGACCTACACATGGTGAAGATTGACTATTCTTTGTGTGGAAAATTGAAAAAGAATACGATTCACTGTTTATTTCACAATGTATGTTTAGATAAGCCGTGAACTTTTAGATCGAGTCAAAATGGTATTAGAATTTTAAGGATCGAAATTTAAATATCTTCGTTACTAATTTATGAAAATTGTGAACGTTTCCCATTTTTAAATGAAAAACGAATGTACGTGATGGGACGTATGAAGACATAATTTTATACCCTCTCTCACATTCGAAGGAAGTTAGAAAAAATCTCAAGAATAACATTATTATAGAACAATAACTTAACTTACCAAGCCACCTGTGACGACTTTGAGCAAGAAGCATGCTACAATGGAGCCCAAAAGTTGAGCAATCCAGTAGAAGAGGCCAGTGAGAATTGTAATTTGTCCACCAACAGCCAAACCAAAGGTCACTGCAGGGTTTACGTGGCCACCGGAGATGTTGGCTCCCACCGAAACCGCCACAAACAGAGCAAATCCGTGGCAGACAGCCACCGCCACCAGCCCCGCCGGGTCGAGGTCCGCGTCAGATGTCAACTTGTCTGTCAAAATATAATTTCAAATATACCCACAAATTAGAATCATATATATCAAACAAAAATTTATAATCACAAGCTGCATTGCATGGGCAGGGTTAATTTTATGTATGAATTTCTCACACCTAGTGTATCATCTAATGTGTGTGAGAGTGAGAAACACAAGAATGAGTCTAATAGATCCAATCTAACGAAGAATACTGCGTATTTTCCTCCCTCTGAATGATTTGTATAATCAAATCGTATTTGATTAAAAGCGAAAAGGAGAGATTACTAACTGTAAGCAATGGCTGAGCCGACTCCAGCGAAGACGAAGAGCAAAGTCGAGATGAATTCGGCTAAATAGGCCTTCAAAGAGCCCACGCTTAATGAATCATTGATTCGTCCGAAGGCAATGGTCTGCATTTTTGATCGGAAAAAGTCTCAAGAAATGCTTGAAGAAGAAGAAGAAGAAGAAGAAGAAATGATGTACTTTGATGACACAATGAGCTTTATTTGTCACATATATATACTAGGAATACATAAATATAATACTAATGTTTATTGAATAAATATTTCATTTTATGAGTTTATTTCGGTAGTTGTTACAAGATGAAGGAAAGAAAAGCGTATCCTACGTAGACATTGCTATCTCAATTGTGAATTAATCATGATTATATATTCTTTTTTTTTTCTTTTTTCTTTTCAATCACAATTATGAAGTAAAATACATCTATAGTAATTTCAATTAATAAAACTTGTATAGACTAAACAATTAACCACCAACAAAATAAATTTACGACAATGAGACTTTAACATAAAATACGAGTGATTTACAATTTCAATTCTGCTTTCATTTTTTATTGTTATGTTTTTGCCATAAGCGAAGAAGTTAAACTAACAAAAATTGTTTTGCTAGACTCGTGGAAGTTTTTTTTTTGTGTGTAAAGTCATCAGTAATTATTGACGGCAACACCAACCCAACCTTCCAACGACAATTTTATGGTCAATAACTATTCTTTGCTAGTTCTTCATCAGGTCACGGATGATTTACTTCAAAAATTCGTACATCATTATAAGAAGTTATATATTTTTGTCGATTTGTATCATAGAATTATTGATATTTTATATACTTGATAACTATAAAAATTCTTGACACGCAGAATATGACAATTGGACATAATTGAATAAAAGAAAAATGGGATAGGAGTGGCAAAAAATATTCATCCATATACCAAATAAAGTATATTTATTCTTGGAATCCTAGCTGTCACTAACGTGGTACAACATTAGGATTGTCGAGAATTCGTCAATAGTATGTCCATGTGAACTTATAATTGTGACAAAAAAAGGTG